CTCTTTCCTTAATGAATCATGAATCATAAATCATAAGGAGCGCATGAAATAATGCGCAGAGACTTTTGTTAATGCGTGATAATTCCGCAAAGTAGACGTAGTTGTCAATGCGACAGGAAAATCTCAAGTCTCTGTAGGAAAGTAATCTAAAATACATAAAGCTGTTACTGAACTTTCATGTTTGATTATCAGATTTCCTAAAAGCCATAGGTAGCCTACTTCTGTAGAATACAAAATCGGGTTCAAAGGAAGACACAGACTATACAATATTAATTTAAAAGCTGGAGCAGTGTTTGACCTTGCTCTGCGAGATGCAGTTGTTCATTTGACAAGTTAGAGATTCATATCTGTCTGGATTTGTGAGGTTGTTAATGAGACCTAACCTTGCCGGTGAGGTTTGGCTTTCTGCAGGATATTTTTAAAGCTTGGAAAATTTAGCGGTACTTTGTTCGAGAGCTCACAACAACCAGAGATCTGTAATCACATCTCTGCTGTGGGCTGGGATCTAGCCATGCAGATCGTCAGCTGTGCAGAGACACAGTGCAGTGGCATTGACATTGCTCTTTAGTGCTTAGGGAAATGAAATGTTACTAAAATTTTCATAGATTCGACATTCGTTTACCAACTTTTCGCTCCTTTAGGGGAGACTACTGTGGTTTAAAGGAAAAAATATTGTTCAGTAGCAGAATTCTTTAAAACAAGATTAACTTTCAATATCTCTGACGTCTGTGTTGCTGTTGTGCAAGGGTGTGTGTTACAGACGTTGTTTTAGTCAGGTAAATAGGGGCTTGGATAACAACCAGTCGTATTTACAGTACACTTGCCAATGCTGAAAATCCTCTACCTGAGCTTCTCTTCTCTTTCTTTGCATTCATCCTATGTAAAGAATGTAAAAGGTATTCAGCAGTAGAAGTCATAAGTGTTATTTGAAAAAGAGACTGATGCTTTAATAGGGGTGCAAATAAGTCTTGATTTTACATTTCTGCTGAGGATGGGTCATAGCGGGCATAACGTTTATACTCCATCTATTGAACTGCCAGCTGCACTGAAGTCTTGGGCAGAATAATTAATTGAAATGGGGTAGGATTTCAGCCAGTGAAAGTTGTAAAGGTAGAAGCTGGTTATTTGTATTTCATGCATGCATACAATAGCACTAGATTGAGATTACTGCCGTTTTAGAAGTTCTTGACGGAGATTTTGGACAACAATTTAAATGGAAGCTAATTACTTCCAGCTTGATTCTTTATAATATAAGGAGAGATTAAAATAGTATAGTTTTATGTGACTACTGCTGAATTATCAATTTGCTCATATGTTTTTCTTTCTATTTCTTGTATTCATGTCTTGTAAAGATGACTGTAAGGCATTTACAGAGGAACAAGTGAATAATTCTTACAGTGTTTATATGAGCAGTGGCATAAGCCTGCATTGGGGTAATCTGTAATACATTTATGAAACGTACTGGGTGTAGGGGCATTGGTATTTAATGTGAGAGGTTTTATTTCACTTGTTTCCTGAGAATTGCAGTACTGAAAGAGCCCACACGCAAATACTGGCAGCATTGCCCTTGGTATTTCAATGAACGACAGCAAGAGCAAGCAGAGCAACGAGAGGAGATTTTTTATAAAATAAGCCTTTTGCAGAAGGATCATCCACTTCTCTTTTCTGCTTGGAACCCCACCTTTTGTCCGTGTTTGCACTGAGAAGTGAGTTCAGGAATAACTGGCTCTCGGTCACGTCTCACGAGCCAGCTTTCCCAAAAAGGGTCTGACATTCAGCCGTTCAGCGTACTGGGATTTACAGGCAACCCCAGTTTGTTCATGAGCATTGCCTGCTTCGGATTATGTCACAGTCTCTTGCTTGCATTTCCCTGAAGAATCACTAGAGAGAAATAAATGGCCATCAAACTGGAAAAACGACTTGTATTTCCAGATAGGGTTGTTCAAGCTTTTGATTAGAGCATTATTAAGTAATTAAAATGTTTGCCATAATTCATTCATGTCTTACCCAGTTACAAAAAAAGAATGAATACACTTTAATAATTAAGTGTTGTGGGCATGAGAACAACAACAGAGAAAAGGCAAGCCGTAATAAATCCATTCCTTCATAAATTCTGTCCTTGCAGCAAGAGGTTGGGGTACTGCGAAGGTCCCACTGTCACGGTCTCTCCTCCATGTCTCAAGGATATGGTTGCATGCTAGTGTCATGGTTTAACGTCTTCCTGCGACAGATTATCATCATACCTGTCATGATTTAACCTGGCAGCCAGCAACTAAGCACTGGACAGCCGCTTGCTCACCCCTCCCCACCCAGCGGGATGGGGAGGAGAAATGGACAAAACGGGAAACTCATGTGTTGAGATAAAGACAGTTTGGTAAGGCGACAAAGGAAATACAAGTACTAATAGTAATGCTACTAATAATAATTATAATAACAATAATAATAATGAATATACAAAAAAAAAATAAAATACCATTTTTCTCACCACCTGACAACTGATTTGTAGCCCAAAGAAAATTCAAACTCCCAACCAAGCAACAATTCGAAACTCTTGGAAAACCAAGAGCCGATAGCCTCCCTGCTCACTGGCCAACCCCTTTCATAACCCAGGCATGCCATCCATGGTATGGAATATTTCCATTGGCCATCTTGGCTGGATGGATGGCTGTGCTCCCTCCTATGAGAGCCTCACATGCTGTCCTGAGAGACATTATCTCCCAGCTCAGATGTCTGCCACCAGACCTGGAGCTCCTGTTGAGGCTCTCCATCCAACACTAGCCATCTTGTTACCCATCCCATATTTTTCCAATAAGAACAAGGCATTCGTCCTCATTAGAGGAGAGTCCACCACTCTCCCTCTGTCTTTGGTCTTTTAGCGGGCATCACTGTCCGGCACCATTCCCCTTCTGTGCCTCACAGCCCTCTCCGGTTTCCAGCTTTGGAGCATTGCACAGATAAGGTCCTCAGCTGTGGCACTGTCACCTCATTGGCCTGGAGGAGCCCTCTGTCAGTCTCCAGCCTTCAGTCCACGTTAAAAAAACTATCTTCTACCCTCTTAATTTTCAGCCCTCTCAAGGACCTCTGTTAGACTTGAGGTTACCTTCTGCCTCAGTCAATCCATCTTCCTAAACAGAGTCAAACGAGAAGACCTTTCTTCTGTCTCAGAGAAGATGGATCCATTTCCTATGTAAGACATGTAAGCAAACGTGGGGTGAAGAGAGGTGAAGACTTTGAAAGCAGTCCGTGCATTAAAGGTCATCACATAAAATCGAGTAGGGATGGGAGTCGTACTGGTCGGGAGATGGGAGGTCAACTTGTAATTTGACGCAGACAAGGGGATAGATGTTTTGGTGACAGGTTGTATCATGTTACTGCTGACCATAGTTGTCATTCACTTCATGTCTCTGAGACCTTGCAGCTTTTCTCCTAGTTCTGGAGCAGGGCGCTCACAAGCCCCTTGGGAAGCCATCATACTGGAACAGCTGCTAGGTGGGAATAGCTGAAAGCGAGGACGGGAGAAAGATGGATCAGCGCCCATCCCCGTTGCTCTTCAGGAATTAAATGACTTTGATTTCAGGACAGTGGCCAAAACACTACCCCAGGAAAGGCCTTGTGGTAAATTTTGCGAGGTGAACATGGCCTTTGCTTTCCTGAACGCCAAGGTTTTGGAGTGCCTCATGGGGAGAACCTTAGTGTTTGGATAAGATGCATTCCTCAGCTCATGTGCTCCTGGCAGTGCAAGCGTTTTGTTTAGGAGAGAAGATTAAACTTTGCAGTGTTTTGCTGAAGTGGATATGCACCAACAGTGATTTACATAATCAAATAAAAAGAAGTTATTGTAACATTAGTAAAATGAATTGCCTAATCAAATCCTTTTAAAGCCTTTATAGTTGACCCCCAAAATCACTAGTTATTCTTTTAACAGTTGCAGCCAGTGTAGTTGAAACATTGTAAAATAAGGAAATTATAACATCAAAAGACAAACAAGATGACACAATGGAATGAAGCGTTGACAGTAATCAAGAAAAGCTCTATTCACAGAAGAGCCTAGAATTGAATATATGTCTCTGTAATAAGGAAAAAACTGCAAGAATTAATTCATGTAGCTGAATAAAGTGATCTCATGCTGGAAGAAAAACAAACTCTGAATTTGGGGGGACAGGTATGACCCACGCTGGTGGTGCTCAGAAGAGTGTCCTGAGTGAGTCCTCAGGTAGCATTTCCTGGCACCGAACATCGAGCTTGACTCTGTATGGTATGTAAAACATTTCATTTCATTTAGACAAGCCAAGCACAACTTTTTTACTTTGAATTCAGAAAAGATCATTAATATTATTTCTAACTAGCTATGGCAGGTATTTGCGTTCTTTACAGATAAATAAACAGAAGGGAAGAAATGGCTTCACAGGATGGCTGAGGTGGGAAGGGACCTGTGGAGGTCACGTGGTCCAACCTCCTGCTCAAGCAGGGCCGTGTACAGCCAGTTGTGCAGG